GAGTCTGTTCACGGGAGGCGCGCGCCCGACAGGAGCACGCGGTGTCGGAGCCCGGCCGGGGACGGCGAGGGAAAAGCGCGCAAGCGGTATTGGCGCGCGCGCCCCACCCAAGGGCTGTTCCTATCTCCGCGTCATCCTCCCTCGGCAGCGGGCAGGCTTAACTGGCGAGCAGGTGGCAGGGATGCCTGCGCCCGGAAGGTGCCAGCGGGATGCTGGGGTACTGGGGTCCGGGTGGGGACTCAGGCGCCTAGGAGTGGGATTTGCACCGCGCGGCACGGAGCGGACACCGCCAAGCCCCCGGCCCGGCTCGGTGTCGAGCGCACCTAGGAGAGCCGGGCCGTGGGCCCCAGCTGGAACGGCGCTATCCCTGGCGCGTGCGCACACGCTCAGGTCCGGCCGCAGGGGCCGAAGTGCTGGACAAGTGGGGGCCTTCGGCCTTCCCGGATGGGGCCTGAGGGTGGAGCTGAGTTTAGGGAAGTGACCCAGGCGGGCAGCGCCCGGAAACCACCCCGCCCCCTGTGTTGGGCCTGAGGACTTCGAGAACCGAAGGTTGTGTAACTGTCCAGGCTCTGGCCCGCAGCAGACAGGCCTGAAACGCCTGTAAGGGTGACACACGGACCTTGAGGCCCCGGAGGTGTTAACTGCTTCTAGGGTGCGAGTTTCTCTCTAGGGGAGGGGGCCGAGCCGAGCTACTTTCCCCGCCCACTCCGGAAGCGAGTAAATCACGTGGCCGGCTTCCTCTGCAGTTCCTGGTGGGGGGGCGGTGCGGACTTCACCGTGGACTGTCGCTCCCTCTCCTGGCTAGGCTGTCACCCGGTAGAACACAGGGTAGAAGTTTAAAGAGGACCCTGGGCACTATAGTTTGTCCTGTTAACATCTGTCAGCGACTTTTGAGGTCATGCACCATTTCTGGAGGTCAGGGTGTTGTCAGGCTGGGCCCTAATTGCAGTTGTGATTCTTGCTTTGGGTGAAAGATCTAGCAGGGAAGAGGACCCTTGTGTAATAACGCCATTGAACTTTTCTGGTGGACTTGCTAGAACCTTAGGTGTCTCATCTAGCATTGTGGGATTTTCGTTACCTATTTTCTAAAGTGAAGACCATGGCTTGGGCGTTGGGGTCTTCTCACTTCTGTGAAGTTCCAAGTCAGCACTTTTACCCGAAGGCTGAGATTGAAAGCTGTGAGTAGGAAATGAGTCAGTACCCTACGGATTCTTTTAAGAAGGTTCAGCTAAGGTTCTGCTTCTTACGGGTCTTCAATTTCCTGGTCTGGGAGGTGGAGATGTTGAACTATATGACCAGAGATCTCTTTTGTGGCTGCTGTTCTGGGCTTGTGTCCCATCTGGTCCTTTGACAGGGGCTTCGGTGTGACACTTGCTTTAGGAAGGGGATTAGTAATTTTGGGGGATGTGGGTTTGTGGACCGTGCTTGTTGGCATCAGACTGGTGTCTTCTGAGAAAACGGAGAGACCTCCAGGGGATCCCAGAAACCTGCTCCTCATGAGGTGTGTGTGGCTCATTTCCCAGGCCTCTGGTGTGGCTGTCTCTGATGGTGTCATCAAGGTGTTCAATGACATGAAGGTGCGCAAATCATCGACGCCAGAGGAGGTGAAGAAGCGCAAGAAGGCAGTGCTCTTCTGCCTGAGCGAGGACAAGAAGACCATCATCCTGGAGGAGGGAAAGGAGATCCTGGTTGGTGACGTGGGCCAGACTGTCGATGATCCCTACGCTACTTTTGTCAAGATGCTACCAGATAAAGACTGCCGCTACGCCCTCTATGACGCGACCTATGAGACCAAGGAGAGCAAGAAGGAGGACCTGGTGTTTATCTTCTGGTGAGCTCTTCATTCAGGCACTTCTTCCTGCTACCTGCTCTAGCCCCCTTTCGCAGAATGGGAACTTCTTTGGCTCCTGGTGTAACCCACTGGTGTGGCTTTGGGGCCAGTGAGTTGTCACAAAGTACTTTCCTGTCAATGGGGAATGCCAACATTTGGATGCTAGAGGCCACCCCGAGGGTTTTTTTGCAGTCATCTATTATTGCTTGAGGGTGACTGCTGGACCCAGAGGAGGGGACTGCAATTTCCCTGCTCTTTTTCCTTCCAGGGCTCCTGAGTGTGCATCCCTTAAGAGCAAAATGATCTATGCTAGCTCCAAGGACGCCCTCAAGAAGAAGCTGACGGGTAAGGGCCAGCATTGGTGGTGCTTTATGCCTACTCCTCCGGGTGGGGTGAATAGCATGGTGGAGGAGGTCCTCCCTTTTCCCTGCCTGCTGGAAAGTAACCTTGTCTCCATCCATCTGCTCTTATTGGCTCCCTCCCAGCCACACAACTACCCGCTGCTCCCCATGCTTCCTGCTCATAGTTGCTTCCCTTTCTTTCCCCCAGGGATCAAGCATGAAGTACAAGCAAACTGCCTCGAGGAGGTCAAGGACCGTTGTACCCTGGCAGAGAAGCTGGGGGGCAGCGCTGTCATCTCCCTGGAGGGCAAGCCATTGTGAACCCCCTCCAGCCCCCTGCCTGGAGCATCCGGCAGCCCCAGACCTAATTGCGGGGGCTGCAGGCTGCCACCTTCCTGCCAGACTGGAGAGGCTGGGGGGATCCCAGCAGGGCGAGGGCAATCCCTTCACCCCAATTGCCAAACAGCCCCCCACCCCCCTGGACCTTCCTCAAATTGCTTTTGATCTTCTGATTCCTCTTGGGTTGAAGCAGACCAACTCCCCCCAGGCACCCCCATTTGGGAGGGGCCTGTATTTTTTTTAATGACACTCCCAGTCCCCATCTGTTCCTCCCCCCTTCCAGGCTGCCAATTTCTAACCGCAATAGTGACTCTGTGCTTGTCTGTTTAGTTCTGTGTATAAATGGAATGTTGTGGAGATGACCCCTCCCCATGCCAGCTGGTTCCCATCCCCCTCTCCCCTGGTCATAGCTGCTTGTTTGGAGGCAGGACCAGTAAGGAACCTTCAATTAAAAAAAAAAAAGACAACAATAAAAAGATTCATTAATGGGGTGTTCGTTGCAGGGTTGGGGCACAGGGGAGCTTGCAGGGGTTTTGGGCTAGAAGAACAAGCAGCATCTTTTCTCTACACTCGCTTCCCAGCAAGCTCCATGCATCCTGATCTGCCTCAGTGCCCGGCTGAGCCTCGCTGATATCACCACTCTTCTTGGTGGTGCTACGCTGGCGCCAGACTGGCTGTTTGGGGGGTGGCAGAGCCAGGGTGTGTCTGCTGCTGCCTACAGGGAGCCCTGGAGCAGAAGTGGCTTCGCATCTGAACTGAGTGTCTTTGGCCTCACCCAGTGGCCACTGAGGCCTATTGGCTGTGAGATTTGTTGCATGTCACAGGTTGTGTGGTGACCTACTGTCTACACCTTCAAGGTTCTGTTTGTCTTCCTTCCTCTGACTCCTTCTGCCCTGGATGGTTGACTCGCATTTATGAGGGCAGAGGGCCAGGTCGTGGCTGCTGTGAGTCAGACGCCAAGTTGAGCCTTTGGCCTTGTAGATGTGGCTGGAACTCATGAGGGTGTGGCCAGCCAGGTAGAGCCCAGGACTTCAGACCCAGGTGTCTTGGGCCCCACCTCCCTGTGTTTAACCAAGAGGGTGGTGGCTGGCCTTGACCCTTTTGCCAGCATTGCTGGGGGCTTTCACCTGCCCAGCAGGCAAAGGTATCCAAAACGTCTGACTTAGGGTGGGATAAATTGGGGGTGGTAACGCAAAGTTCACTACCCTTCTCCCTTAACCAATGAACGGAAAAAGCTTGAGCAAGAACTACTTCCTTAGCTTCTTGGAACTTACCATCTTTGAGGGAGGCAGAAAGGAGTAGTTCCATTTTGCTGGTTAGAAAAACGGGTAGAGGATTTGTGATTGGTCCTACACATGTGTCCTGCTAGGGTTTGTGGGAGTGGGGGCAAACCTTAAAGGCTGCTCTTGGGGTTCCAAGTCTGGGTCCTGCGTCTTCCTTTCGAGAAACTGCTGAGGATGCTGTGGGGTGCCCCCTACTTGGCCCCAGAGTCTGGTCTCCACAATGCCCTGGCAGAGGGTGGGCCCAAGTGTAGGAAATGAGGACTCCAGCAGGCCCCTTGCTAGAAAACCAGGCTCTTTATTAATGAAGAACAGGTGGGGGCAGATGTGCTTTTTCTCCAGGGTGGTGGGTGGGTGGAAGCCGCTGTCAGCCCCCTGGGGAGGGGACAGCAGGGCCTTTGGAGCTGCCCCATTCTGCGGCTCTGCTTACCTGTGGCCAGTCCAGTGCCATGCTGCCCTCTCCCTGTTGAAAGGGCCGGGCTCAGGCTGGCCTGGGGGAACTGGAGGTATGCTAGTGGCTGCTAGGGTGGGGCCTAGGGGACTTTGTCACTGCAGGTCCAGGGACAAAGACTGGCTGTGTGTTGGTTGCTCTAAGGCTCCCCCTTGAGGGCAACGAGGGTGTTCCGGAGCAGCAGTGTGCTGGCCTGCAGGGAAGAGAGATGGGTCCTCGATGTTCTCTGCCTGCCCTCACCCTGCTCCCTAAGGCTGGGAGTTGCACTTCCCGAACCCCGGATAACTCCTGCCACACCCCCGTCATTTATTGAGTAATTAGCACCAATGAAGAAAAGGGCAGGGACCTGGCCCAAGATAGGGAAACATGGTCCTGAACCTCAGCTGGAGCTGCTGGACCCCCTCCCACCCAACACACACAAACTTAGCAAGCAGGCATAGGAGACTAGCTAAGAACCTAGAGGCCTGGCAGTGGGGGCCAGGGAGGCTGTAGGTTTACCTTGGCGTGTTTGAGCTCCAGCTCTGCCAACTCAATGAGGTTCTTGCGGAAAGAGGAGACGCGACGGGACCTGAAGTCTATGAGCTCTGAAGAGAAGAGGGGGAAGCATGGGGACCCGGCAGGGCAGGTGCCCAGTGGTGGCGGGTCCAGGGCGGCAGGGCTCACCCTGCTTGGCTGAGTCGGAGAGGCGCTCAAAGCGCTGGCAGCACAGCTGCTGGTGGCTCTCGGCGGGGTGCACCTCCCGGTTCCTGGTGCGCGCCTTGTCTAGCGCCTTGTTGGCGCTCTCGTAGTCAGCCAGTGCCCTCAGCCGCCGGTACAGGAGGTCCTGGGGCCAGCATGGGCACAGAGTTGCTGCTGCCTACAGCCTTCACCACCCTGCCCGGGGTTGGCTGTGCCCACTGGCCTCCAGCCCATGCCCGCTCTGGCACTGCCTCTCACCTTGGCTGCCTGTGAGTCTCGCATGTAGTACCTCAGCATGTCCGACAGCTTCAGGTCCTCATCAGATGCCACCCGGCCCTCCAATTTCTGTGGGAAAGGTGGGGGCTGGGGAGGGAGCTAGTCAAAGAGCAGCTAAGGGATGGGGGGCCTCCTCAGCTAAATATCCAACAAAGAAGAAGTGATACCCACTCTATTATCAGGCTCTGATGATTGGGGGAACAGGCTAGGGAAGGCTTCACTCAGGAGGTGGCATCTGACCTGGGTCTTGGGGGTTGAGTAGGAGTTAGCCAGACAAACAAAAGCCAAAGATTTGCAGGTATGCAAGCCTGGTATATGTCCATGGAACTGTAAGTTCATTATGGGGACTGTTGGGCAAAGCAGTGAAGTGAGGCAGTGACCAGATCACAAAAGACCTACAATGCAAGCTAAGGACTGTGGGCTTTGTGTCGGGCTGTTTCTGGAAGGGGCAAGGTCACTGAAGAGCCTTGAGCAGGGAAGAGATGTGATCCAGCAGACATTTTAGAAAGACTGGCATACTCCAGTGCCTTTCTTGGAGAAGAGTTCAGGAAGTGTGCGTCTGGGGCAGGATGTTGGCAGCAAGGTGCAGCCTGCCAGAGGCACGTGGCACATCCTTGTGCCTCACCCAGCCCAGTGCCCCCCACTCAAGGCTGAGCCCTTGTCTCTGTCACGCCACTTTTTATACTTTTCTGGAGTGTGAGTTATCACTGAAAATTCCAAAATGATCCTGGGGCTTTCCCCTCTCCCAGGACTCGTTCTTGCTGGAAAGGATCACTGGGGAGACCTCTCAACACAAAAAGTGTACTCACCCTTAGTCGTTCAAAGAGTTCAGCCAATTTGAGGAAGCTCCTAGAAAGCAGTGGGGAAGAGGTTAGGGCAAGGGCCTGAGGGGGCTGCGCAAAGTCTCCCTGTCCTTGTCCCTCCTTGGGGAAATCTCCCCCTCCCCTTTCTCTCCCAAACCCCAGCAGATACTTCTGCACCTCCCCTGTAGAGATGATAGTAGCCTTCTACAGAGTGACCCCTAATGGACAGACACAGTATTACAGGCATAGGGAGAGGGCAGGAAGGGCGACAGGGAGTCCTCACATCTTCAGCTGGTTGACTTCCTGTGTTCCCAGACTGCTCAGCGCAGCTGAGATAGGGATATAATCCTCTGCCAGGCCTGTTGGGGAACAACCCCCATCAGAGCCCCTTGGTCTGCACATCAAGCCCCACCCCTGCTGATGTGGCCGTGTACAGGCACCAAGGCATTCCCTGCTTTCCTCTTTCCAGGAAGAAGGACCCCTGGGGACAGGGGGCAGGGGAATTCAGGGCCCCTTGGGCCCTTCGTACACTTGTGGGAGCGCATGACACGGTCTGCCCGCAGGCAGGCATCCCGGATACGAGTGTGATACTCCAGCAGGAAGGTTCTCTCGTGTTCAAAGAAGTCATCCACCTCCTAAGGGAACCAGACAGGACTCCAGTTACACCCAAGTCACAGGCATACAGCAGCCTCAGGCACCCAGGGCTGGCCCAATCTCCCTCCAACCCCGACCACGCTCCACCAGCGGCTTCCCTCCCACCGACAGCCTGGGCCTCAATCCCAGCCGTGGACTTGAGGCCCTGGATTGAAACCAGAGAGGAGCCTAGGGGTCACCTTGAGCCCTGACACGCCAGTGATAAGGGCTTCATCTGCGGACTTCACAATGTTCCTCAGAAAGCCCCCAAGCAGCTCTTTCCTGTTCTTCCCTCGGACGCTCAGCTGAGGCACACATGGCGAGGGCATGGTGTTGGCAGGCACGTGCAGCTCCCATCCTCCCCGGCCTGCGTTCAGCCCACCTCCAGCCCTGCTTCTCCCCAGGCCCCCCAAGCCTCAGTTCCTGGGCCAGGAGGTGACCCTATCACTCGGGCCCAGCTCACATCCTGGCCGTATTCCAGAAAGACGAAGAAGTTGTGGTCTTGACGCAGGGTAGGGTGGGCTGCCAGGCGTTGCAGAAACACTTCATGCATGGCGACCGTCTTCTTAAAGATCGCCAGGTACTCCCTGAAGGAACAGTGGGCAGTGGGTGGGCCCCCCTTCCTTCAGCAGCCCTGGGGTCAGAGGTCACAGTAGGTCAACTCAGGGTCCAGGAAGAAATCCTAGGGCTCTGGGGAGAAGATGGGGCAGGGGGCTTGGATAAAGACGAGGGAAGGAGGTGGCACTCACGCTTCTAGCTCCTGCTTCATTTTGGCAAACTCTTCCCGGGTGATAGAGCTGTCCCCCTCACCCAACTTCTGCAGCTTTTCCCGCGATGCCTCAAAGTCTGGCCTTGGAGGGGCTGGGGGGATCTGCTCAAAGGAGGGACAGCGCTGGGAGGCCTCTCATTGCCTGGAGACCATCACCCGCCCGGAGGCTGGCCCACCCTCCCCTCCTCACGATGAGGCCGGCGTACTCCTCGTTGTCCACATAGGTGTCATGCAGCCAGATGAACTCCTCATGCTGCCGCACCACCGAGAACTCCGTCTGGGCGAAGTGAGGGAGGCAGCTCTGGAAGCCGGGAAGCCCATCAGGTCCTCCTCTCCCCAGACCCTGCATCTACCAAGCCTCCCAGGCACCCACTTATGGGTCTCCCCAGTCCCACACCCCAGGTGGGGCCCAAGTTGGGGCTCAAGTGTCCCTGATTTCACTCAGGATGGTGGACGGGGGGATGTTTAGGAGTCGGGGCCTCAGGCAAAGGCAACAGGGATGAGACAAGATGCCCGCTTTCTAAGAGGGGCAGGGGCAGGTTGAGGCTCCCTCTCAGGAACAGGGTCCAAAGGCTATGATGGCAGCTGCCCCCCACTCCCTGAAAGGGGGACCACAGGATGAGGGAAGCAGCTCCTCAGGCCCCTGCAGCCCCCTGCAGGTGGTCATCTGGGACTATACCCCCCCATCCCCGCCCACGCAGCCTCACCTTGGTTTGAACAGTGAATTTCACCTTGTCCCGCTCACTCACTGCGTCTGAGATCTCCACCTGTAAGGTGCTGTTTGCCTGCAGATCCACAGACATGGAGGAGAGCTGTGGGAGAGGGGAGGCCCTGACATGGTGGACCACTGTCCCTCACCCATCCTTGCCACAGGCTTGCTTATCCTCTTGCAGGGTCCACCTCAGTAGCATCACTTATGCCCTGAGAAGTCACTGCTTAGGGCTTTGCAATTGCCAGAACCCTTTCCCACCCTCCTATTCTCTGAAGCAGGCAGAATGCACTCCATTTTACAGATGTGGAAACTGAGACCACCAGAGGTGAAGTAACTTGTCCAAGGTCACACAGCTCCAAGGTGGCAGGGCCAGATGTGGACCCAGGTTCTTGATGCCAACTCTATGTACTTTTCATGTACTTTCTCAGCTCGCCCACCCCCTTCTCAAGCTGCATACCAGAGCTTAAAGTGAGCTGGATGAGAAGTTCCCACCTCTTCTTAGGAGTTCTTGAAACCATTACATTCATGATTTTAAAAAAACTTTTTTAATAATTGTATTTTAGATGAAGGTTTACAGAACAAATAGTTTCTCATTAAACAGTAAACATTGTTTTATGACATTGGTTAACAACCCCACGACATGTCAGCACTCTCCCTTCTCAACCTTGGGTTCTCTATTACCAGCTTTCCTGTCCCCTCCTGACTTCTAGTCCTTGTCCTTGGGCTATTGTGCCCCATTAGTCTCGTTTTGTTTTATGGGCCTGTCTAATCTTTGGCTGAAGGGTGAACCTCAGGACTGACTTCATTACTGAGCTAAAAGTGTGTCCGGGGGCAATACTCCTGGGGTTTCTCCAGTCTCTTGCAGGCCAGTAAGTCTGGTCTTTTTTTGTGAGTTTGAATTTTGTTCTGCATTCTTCTCCAGCTCTGTCCGGGACCCTCTGTTGTCATCCCTGTTGGAGCAGTCAGTGGTGGTAGCCGGGCACCAACTAGTTGTATTGGACTCAGTCTGGTGGAAGCCGTGGTAGCTGTGGTCCATTTGTCCTCGGGACTAATCTTTTCCTTGTATCTTGTTTTCTTCATTCTCCCTTGTTCCCAAAGGGGTGAGACCAGTGGAGTACTTTAGATGGCTGTTCACAGGCTTTTAAGGCCCCAGACGCTACTCACCAAGGTAGAATGTAGAACATTTTCTTTATAAACTATGTTATGCTACTTGAGCTAGATGTTCCCCAAGACCATGGCCCCCACAGCCCTCTGCCCAGCAATTTGGTCCCTCAAGAAGTCTGGATGTGTCCATGGAGCTTTCATGACCTTGCCTTGTATAAGTTGTGCTGGCTTCCCCAGTATTGTGTATTCTTACCCTTCACCAAAGTTACCACTTATCTTTTGTCTATTCAGTATTTCTCCCCCACCCCTCCCATCCCTTGTAACCATCAAAGATTGTTTCTTTTTGTGTGTAAACCTTTTCATGAGTTTTTACAGTAGTGCTCTCATACTATACTTGTCCTTTTGTGACTTATTTCACTCAGCATAATGTCCTCTAGTTTCATCCATGTTATGAGATGCTTGGCAGATTCATCATTGTTCTTTATCGTTGCATAATACTCCATTGTGTGTATGTATGTACCATAGTTTGTTTATCCATTCATCTGTTGATGGGCATCTAGGTTGTCTCCATCTTTTTGCTGTTGTGAACAATGCTGCAATGAACATGGGTGTGCACATGTCTATTCGAGTGACGACTCTTATTTCTCTAGGATATATTCCTAGGAGTGGGATTGCTGGATCGTATGGTATTCCTATTTCTAGCTTTCTAAGGAAGCACCATATTGTTTTCCAAAATGGTTGTATCATCTTGCATTCCAACCAGCAGTGCATAAGAGTTCCAATGTCCCTGCAGCCCCTCCAACATTTGTTATTTCCTGTTTTTTTTTGATTGATGACAGTAAGGCCGGGGTGAGATGGTTTTGATTTGCATTTCTCTAATGGCTAGTGATCACGAGCATTTCCTCATGTGTCTGTTGGCTGCTTGAATGTCTTCTTTGGTGAAGTGTCTGTTCATTTCCTTTGCCTATTTTTTTAATTGGATTATTCATCTTTTTTGTCATAGAGTTGGATTTTCTTTTTAGAGATTAGACCTTCATCTGACTTGTAATGTCCAAAATTTTTTTCCCAGTCTGTAGGTTCTCTTTTTACTCTTTTGGTGAAGTCTTTGATGAGCATAAGTGTTTAATTTTTAGAAGATCCCAGTTATCTAGCTTATCTTCTGGAGTTTGTGTGTTGTTGGTTATGGTTTGTATCTTATAAATGCATGTATTAGGGCCTCTAGCAATGACCCTATTTTTTCTTCTATGAACTTTATAGTTTTTGGCTTTATATTTAGGTCTTTGATCCATTTTGAATTAGTTTTTGTATATGGTGTGAGGTATGGGTCCTGTCTCATTTTTTTGCAGATGGACGTCTAGTTTTGCCAGCACCATTTGTTAAAAAGACTATCTGTTCCCCATTTGATGGCCTTTGGACCCTTGTCATGACTTTTGGATGCCAAGAGGCACTGGCCTGCAGGCAAAGCACCCGTATTTCTCCAAGTGAAAAGACCCATGAGGCACCAAGCTACTAGTTCGTTATTGCATTGAGTCATTCAACAAGCATTTATCGACCACCTCCTGTGTACACACCATTGTTTGAAGTGCTACTCAGGAGAAGAGGCTTAGAAGCCACTCTACCTTCAAGCATTGCTCACCATGTATATACACGGGCACCTGCCCCTCCTCTCACACCCACAAGCCTCCTCACTCTCCCTTCTCACCAGCTTGGCACGCGCAGGAGACGGGATGGTCCCTGAGATGGTACTCAGTGATATGTAGGTCCAGAAACAGACAAGGCCCTGACAAATGACGGAGCGTCTGCACCTGGTTGGGCGATTTCTACTCCCCAGTCTGAGATGCCTGCATCTGTCCCTCCTCCTGGCTCTCACGTGAAGTAACTGACCCTGAGGTCACCTATTATACGGTTACCTCTCTATATTGCTTCCCCTTTTTGTTCTTTAAATTGAGGTATAACTCACATACAGCAAAGTGCGTAAGTCTTAAGTGTAAAGCTCAATTAATTTGTACATACGTATAACCCAGTGGCTGTTGAGCTGATTCCGACTCATGGCAACCTTATGTGTGTCAGAGTAGAACTGTGCTCTGTAGGGTTTTCAATGATTGATTTTTTGGAAGTAGATCACCAGGCCTTTCTTCCAAGGCACCTCTGGGGTGGACTCAAACTGCCAACCTTTTGGTTAGCAGCCAAGCACATTAACCCTTTGGACCACTGGTCACCATGAATCAGAATCAACTCGACAGCAACTGGTTGTATACATCCATGTATACCTCCGTGTACCGTGTTACACCCGTGTAACCTCCACCTAGATATTCAGTATTTCAGCACTCCAGAAGGCTCCCTCTTGCCCCTCCCCCCAACTAGTCAATTACTTCCCAACCCAGATCTAACCACTATTCTGACTTCTATCACCATAGCTTAGTTTTGCCTGTTCTTTTTTGTTTTTTTTTTATTGTGATTTAGGTGAAAGTTTACAGAGCGAATCAGTTTCTCATTAAACAGTTAATACACAAATTGCTCTGTGACGTTGACTGCCAACCCCGTGATGTGTCAACACCCTCCCCTTTTCCACCCCAGGATCCCTGTTTCCAGTCATAGTTTTCCTGTTCCTTCCTGCCTTCTCATCTTTGCTTTTGGGCTGGTATGCCCATTTAGTCTTGTAGACATGACTGAACTATGAAGAACATCCCTCGCGTGTTATTTTTGGCTCTAAAAAACCAAAAACCAAACCCATTGCAATCGAGTCAATTCTGACTCATAGCAACCCTATAGGACAGAGTAGACCTGCCCCATAGGGGTTCCAAGGAGCAGCTGGTGGATTCAAACTGGTTGACCTTTTGGTTAGCAGCCCAGCTCTTAACCACTGTGCCACCACAGACCTGTCTAATTTTTGGCTGAAGGGTGAGCCTCAGGAGTAACTTCAGTACTGAGTTAAGAGGGTGTCCGGGGGCCATACTCTTGGGGTAACTCCAGTCTCTGTCAGACCTGCAAGCCTGGCTTTTTTTTTTTTTTTTGGTGAATTTGAATTTTGTTCTACATTTTTCTCCCACTCTGTCGGGACCCTCTATTGTGATCCTTGCCAAAGCAGTTGTTGGTGGTAACCGGGCATCATTTGGTTGTTCTGGGTTCAGTCTGGTGGAGGCTGTGGTAGTCGTGGTCCATTAGTACTTTGGACTAATCTTTCCCTTGTGTCTTTGGTCTTCTTCATTCTCCTTTGCTCCAGCCGAGATGGGACCAGTAGATGTATCTTACATGGCCGCTTGTAGGCTTTTAAGACCCATCATTACACGCCGCGGTCTGATGTAGAACATTTTCTTTATACACTAAGTTATGCCAGTTGAGCTAGATGTCACCCAGGCTGTGGTCCCCAGCCCTTACTCCAGTAGCTCGGTCTCTCAGGGAGTTTCGATGTGTTTGCGAAGCTTCTATGACTTTGCCCTGGTCAAGTTGTGCTGAATTCTTGTCATAGATTGAATTGTGTCCGCCCAAAATATCGTCAACTTGGCTAGGTCATGATTGCCAGTATTGTATGACTGTCTACCATTTTGTCATCTGATGTCATTTCCCTATGTGTTGTAAATCCTATCACTATGATGTAATGAGATGGATTAGTGGCAGTTATATTGATGAGATCTACAAGATTAGATAGTGTCTTAAGCCAATCTTTTTTGAGATATAAAAGACAGAAGTGAGCATACAGACTGGGGGACTTCATACCACCAAAAAAGCAGTGCCAGAAGCAGAGCACATCTTTTTGACCTGAGGTTCCTGTGCTGAGATGCTCCCAAACCAAGGGAAGACTGATGGCTGCATCACAAGGCTCTTCCTCTAGAGCCAACAGAGAAAGGCTTCCTCTGGAGGTGGCTCCCTGAATTTGGACTTCTAGCCTACTGGACTGTGAGAGAATAAATTTATCTTTGTTAAAGCCATCCACTTGTGGTATTTCTGTAGCAGCACTAGATGACTACAACACTTCTC